CGTTCACAACAAATGTGAATGTCAGCAACTGCGGTCACTGAATCAATTTTATTTACTGGCGTTGCTCTTGTAGGTGACCACAACCATGATACTCACCTGGGGTTAATGTTAGGGCCCACAACCTACCAACAAGTGCTCGACTCAACTCGGCAAAAACACATATTTTGAAAAGTTCCCATGTTGTCCATCCTCACTTTCTTCAACCGACTCTTCCATTTACCACAGCAGCTCTCTCAGGCACCTGAGGTAAACAGCACGGACGCTTTTCACTGCATGTGTGTAACCATATATTTTCGGAGTGTGCTGAGGGTAACCATGGTAATACAGAGTGCATTAAAATTCCCAAATTCTCCCGCGACACAATAATGACAAGACAGAGTTACCGCTCACGTGAGTCATTCAGCTGATACCAATAATCAGTTAGCAGTTAGCATAGACGAGCCTCTTATGACTAATGGAAATGATCCCTTTTAGGTCTGTTTTTTTTAGTCAACACTTTCGTTTACCAAAAAAACATTAGCAGTGGAGAAAAGCAATTGCGCAAAAATGTCGTGTTGTCATCGTTAAGTCGAATTTGGCTAAACAACTACTAATAAATCAAACACGCTAAATTATTTGAACCAGCATCAGCCCAATATAGGCATGGCTGGTACCAGGAAAAGAAAAAAAATCAAGTGCAAAAGCAGTGGAAACTCCTCCAATATATGAGTAGCACACAAGCAGAGATCAGGCCGAGGAGCTGAGGGAGGAGCTGTCAGAACAGAAGTATGAGAGCCATGAGACAGGCTGCACTTTTATTAGATTTTATTAGCTTGAGAAACTCAGTATTTGCAGTTAGTTTTGAATTGAAGACTTGTGTGTGCAGACTGTGTGTGAGCTTACGTAACAGCATGTTAATTAATGAAGCCCAATATATGTTCATAAAACGTCTTTCCACGTTTCTTTCCGTACACAAGAATACTGTACCGATCGCACAGCTTGTCGAAGATCTCTGTAGCTTTTGTACGGTGTCTGCTTTGCTTGTTGCGTCTACTATTTACATTTTATTTGCCTCGTCCACCCTGCTCCGACGTCGGTCTCGCTTGAATTCAGACGAAATGTGACATGACTGCTCAGGCTGAGGTCGCTTTGAAAAATATTGACTAAGTCTGACTTATTGGCATGGATTGAGTTTGAAAAAAATTGATTTGTGCTGCTCACACTGTCGTCGGAACATATACATATGGTTCACATATGTATATGTATATGACATTTAAGTCCAAAGATTTGTAAACAGAATTGAGTAGTGTTAATACTCAACTGAAACCGTGATTTTCCTCGCCTTATTAAACAGCACTGCTCTGAACCACACGATGATCTCCTCCTGTGTGTCTTCCCTGTCTTTTTCCGTCAAAGACTGGACTCATTAACAAAATTGACATCATGTTTTATTAAAGGAAAAGCTTCGGGAAAATGTTTATTGACCTTATAAATGAATTATTCATTCATTTCCAGAAAACATTAAAAGTTCATTTTCATTTAGCCAAACTTCATTAAATTAATTGAAAATACAATAACAGAAAGAGTTGCAACTCAAGCCCTAAGAAAGTTTTTGTTTTGTTTTTTACAGCTGACCTATAGAATGCACATATTCAATAATAGTGAATGGAGCTGTGGCTGAAAAATCTCATCACTTCTTCTTCCACCTTTATATATGGGGTGCAGAGCAATAACATCACATTTAATCACGTTCTTTAAGCAGGTGCGGTGCATATAAATAGAAACATACGCCTATTGGACTGCATGCAGGAGTGAGGGGTATGTGCAAATTGTAGAGCAGGACCCTGAAGTGTTTCATTAAGTGCTACCTATAGTTTCAGCGTAGCTTCCTGTGTGATTCGGACTTGTAATATAAAGTGTCCATTACCTAACCTGACCCTCTTCCTTTTCTCCGATTTGCAACAGGAATATTATACATTCATTTTGTTGCTCATAAATCACTGTGACAGAGAAGTGTCACATCACACCAGACTATTGGAACACCTCACTTTCTTACTTTATCGCACCATCTCTTATTTGCACGCCCTTCTCTCTGCCTCCCCCCTGGGATCGACACATGGCTTCTCATCAGCGTGGGAAATCGTCAACAGCAGCCCTCTCCTCCGGGAGTGTTTTTTTAAACTCTCCCTAATTGGCATGTGCTTCATGACAACAGCGGGGCTGTGTGTGCTTTCACAGCAACAAAAGACATTTAGTAAACCTAACTAGCACAGCCTGACTGTGACACCTATCTAAAACCCTACAAACCAGTGGCATCTCCTTGAAGATGGTTGACAGAAAAGGATCACACAGTGGCATCGACTCTAGGATAAGACAGTTCCCTCAGAACAGAGCCTCATTTGGGATCTGCCTTGACACGCAGCAGGTGTGGAGACCATTTGGTGTAACCTGCCTAACTACCACGTCCCTGCTGAGCTCTGTGAGAGCACGTACAGAGGGTGCTCTCAGGACTGTAGCTGCAGACACAGCTTTCTCCGACATAAACAGACCGCTAATTCTTCAGTCCAGTACTCGCCGACGCTTCATCACTGGCTTATTTTTATTCCTAGTAAATAAACAAAAACTAACAAATGCTTAGATCATAAAAGCTTCATTTCTATGGTTTTGCCTTTGGTTTGAATACATTTCCATAAACAAAGGCTTCATCTTTATTGATAACATTTAATCCAGTGGTGTTTGTTGCGGCTGATGCTGTGGTTCTCATTTTTAGACGCTAGATTGCTAAAGGTGTAGTATGCATGAACTTTATATGGGCTGAATGCAAAACTACCAGCCAATGAAATGTTGCCTCTTATGCATGACGGCAAAAATAAAAAACAGTATAAAGTTTAATGCAATAATCAATCAATTTGAGTGGGTAATATATGGTGATGTTTATTTGAAGGACAGCTGCCCTCTTACTGTATTTTCCCCTTTTTTTAAGTATGTATTAAGCTGTCAAACTACTGACCCAGTAGGGGGAGTAATTCAATAGAAAGGGTGCAAAGCTGCTGTTTATACAACAAGAATGAGAAGAGCTAATCAAGGCGATTAATAGTGTGTAGTTCTTTTTGCAGCATTGCAACAACTACACTGCATCAGAAGTTCCCAGGAAAAGGGCAGTGTTAACATATCCTGATTTGATAACACCTGCCTCATCTATATCTGTCATGGGGGGGATTCCTTACATCCACTGTGCAATTGCTATTTCTTAAAGGTCAATGCTTTATTTTATTGCTTCTACAAAACAAAAGTATGGCTGTGGGTTCAGTTAGTTGGGTTTGTTTTGGGATAAAAACCCATGGAAGTAGTAATTATAATTGTTATTGTTCAAACTGAGAAGTTAACCAGTTAACCTCCTGGACTTATTCTAATTGATCATTTATGTTAGGTTGTATGTGGCCTGTGAACCAAAATAGGTTTGACAGCCCTGGTCTAAATGTTCTAAAGAACTTCCTCTTGTTTACACCCAACTTCCTGGAGTTCTCCAAACTTGCTGTGGTTTCACTCTCTGCTCCGTGCATCTTTTTTCATGCTGTGTGTTTGCAGCTGCATCACTATCTCATTATGACATGATAAAGTTTATGGATTGTTTACCGCAATGGGAAATCTGGGTGAAGTAATTGATCATCTTGTAGCAGAATGAACACATGGCAGGTGCAATCCAGAGAGAACATGAAGCCTAATGTGTTTAGAGATGCTCAACCCTGAAAAGGAAGTTTAACACCTGATTGTTCATAGACTCTACAGTCCAGGCCAGGTACGAGTAACTTATTCTGAAAGTACTTTATTGTGACGTACCATAATAAATCTCAATGACACCGTTGTTGCTGACCATTTGCACCACTGGGCAACTTTACCTGTCCTAAAACGTCTGGCTCATGATCCGGGTCACACAAGAAAGTTGCTTCAAACTGGGCTCAGGAACATGGTAATGAGTTCAGAGTGGTCCATTGGCAACAATCAAAAGCTATGAATCCAGTTCAGCAACTTAGGGATTTGGCAGAATGAGAGATTAGCAGCTGCTGCAATGATGTAATCCAATCATGGCATTGTGTAGCAGAAGCCATCAGGTTTCCAACATCTGGCTAAATCCATGTCATGACTGATAAATTACTGAAAATGCTTTGCGAGCGGCCATGCTCACCGTGCCTATTATGCTAGCAGGTGAGATAATGTACATGTGGATTCAGCTCCACAGAACAACGGGCATGTGTTCCTCATCGTTTCTTCAACACGTTTTGTCAGAAGTGTTAGGAAGGAATATCACAAGTTTGCTGGTTCAATCCCCAGCGTGTTTCCAGTGTGTGCAGGGTTTTTCTCAGTATTACGGTTTCCTCCCACAGTCCTAACATGCAGGATTGGTTTAATTAGGTCTGAGTGTTAGTGTGAAGGGTTGGTGGTCTGTGTGTGTGCCCCTGTGGTGGGCAGTCAAACTGTCCAGGCCTCGGCTGCAGCTCCACCAGACTGTGAAGGGATGAAGTGGTAGAAGATACTAAAATGGATGCCTCCACTGTAGGTGCATTCGTTACATTAGTGAATTCAAGCTAAAGGTTAGTCATTTTAGGTTTTTTTGTGAAAAATAGAGTTATCATAGCACCCTCTACAGGGTTGGATCTACAACTACAAAGTATGTGTTATGTGTTATGAGGCAGATATTATCATTTAAAGTCAATGAACTCTTAAATGATAAGACGTTTTCCTGGTATAATGTCACTTCTGTGTCTATTAGGATTCTGGACTGCCTGAGGCACAGGTGTCAAACTCCCGCCTCTATATACTGGTGGAATTTGTAGTATTAGTGATGTATGCACTATATCATATCGCATAGACTTTTATGCGGTTGGTTGTTTTGGTGTTGGCCTGAAAAAAGATTGACATTAAAAAGAAACTCGAAAGGCTACAGATAAAGAGATATAATAAGAATCAAATACTACTGATGTGGGTTTTATTTCAAATTAAATTTCTCATGTGTTTATAATATTAACCTTTAGTTGTTCCAAATTCAATGTTTACACAAAATTAAAGTTTGTTTCCAAAAAAATCATTACATATCTGGAGAGAAGTGAAAACGTACACAATTGCCGTAAATGTTTCAATAATTATTCAGTTTGGCCCACGACTTCGTCCCAGTTTTTAGTTTTGGTCCGCTGTGAATTTGAGTGTGATATCCCTGGTCTAAGGAATTAAAAAAACATCCCTCTGACTTAATATTTAACCTAGATGTTCTTCACCATATGCTGCAGGGACCAGTGACACGGCGTAGCCCCCCGTCCTCTCTCTTTCTCTCCATCATCCCTGTCTGTTTGTCTCTCCTGCTCCCTCCATCTTGAATCTTATCCCACTGCACTCTTCTCTATTCATAACCCGTGCCACTTCTACACACAGTCCAAAGACCTGATTTATCCTCGGGTGCAGGTTCAGAGTCATTTGTCTCTGAATGTTCACGGGCCTTTGTCCGAAGCTAACAGCATCTGTGAGAAGATCGGCAACCTTTTCCTCAGGACGCCACCTTTTCCTGTCAGTAGAGTGTGAAATAAAGTGTTGTAGCACACAGGGCGGTGGAGCTGCAGTGAAATAATCCCCAAATATCTGTGACAGAAATCACTGACATAAGGAAGACAGCTGTGAAGCACACATGCAGAATATTCCATATGTGGTAAAAAAAAAATAAAAGTCTGAGGTGTTTGATCATAACTGGGATTTCTGTAGGTGACATGGTTTAGGCTTTATTCTAAACATTTATCATTTTCATCACTTTGATCTATAGTCTATGATGCTGTTGCTACTGAAGATATAAATATATGTATATATGTACAGTATATATATATATATATTGGTGGTTAAGGCAGCAGACTTAGGTCTTGGGTCTAAAGCTGCCCCCTGCTCACTTTGGTGATGGGGTAAAATGCATTGTTGTGAGCTGTGTAACACTGACAAATAATTCCCTTTCACTTTGTCTCTAGAGATACAGTTTTGTCTGATTTTCTCAACAATAGATTAAAGCTGAGACTAATCTTTTCTTTGGCTCCTCGTAATCTGATTTGCTAAACCTGTCACCTACCGAATGATGCATCTGTCTGTGTTTAACACTTTTCCTATAGTTAAAAGTTAAACTAAAAGAAAGTTTTTTGAAATGTTCAAATGAATCAAATTACAGATTAAAGTTCTATTGCATTTTTAGAGAGTGCACTTTTCTGGAAATCGGATGTAATTCTTCTAAATTGAATGTAATGTCGCCGCCTGTTCAAGAGAATAAAAAAATTGTCTGAGGCGAAAATCACGTGTTAGTGGTACAGTAGTGCGTTGAAAACTAAATTAGGACAAGGTGGGCAGGAAAAACTCCAAAACAGGGCTAACATTGTCTAAGCTAAATATAAAAAAGCACACTCTCCTTCTATAAAGACTGTACTTCTCACTGAAGTCCGATGAAAATCAGTGCAACCAACAACTAATTTATCTTATGATTTAAATACCAGGTACAAAGACACAAACAAATGGTCAAATATTTATTTTAAAAAAAGTTTCATTTCAACTATTCAAAAATAACTGTTCCAAAAAGCAGTGATGACAAATATGTTCTTGTCGTGATCCATGATAACTTGTAACCTCAGAAATTGCGTCCGTACTGTAGGTGATGCAGTGTTCTTCACTCTGTAACTGCTGTAACACAGTCTGATGACAGTGAAGATGGAGGACCTGGAGAAGTGTCTTGTTTTTCACTGTTAGCTGCAATCTCTAACTTTCTTCTCATTGTTTCTTTTCTTTTCCACTTTCACCCACCTGTCGTCTTCTGGTGAGGTCAGGAATCGGGCTCTTGGCCTGAGGATGACTTCTGAGGTGTGACTAATGTTTCCTCGACTAAATTAGTTAATTCGTTCTTTGTGGTATATTTTTGTTGTGATTTGCTTGCGGAGCGCGATGGACAGTTAAACTGGTTAGTGTCACAGAATTATTATACATCCTGGAAAAATGTAATAGCACAAATGCAACTAAATTAAAACCTAACTGTGCTGCAGAGACCAGTGCCTCAACATCGAGAAAGGTGTGGATTTGTGTGGTTTTTCCCTGAACCCTTCAGCCCTGACTCCTAAGACAGTGTTTGGGGATTAGGTTAATTGTCCAGTTTTAAATTTTTAATAGGTCTGACAGCGAGCGTGAACGGTTGTTTGTCTCTGTATGTGGCCCTGTGGAGGAGCGGCTAACTGTCCTGTAATGTACTTTGCCTTTTGCCTAATGTACACTGCTATTGGCTTCAGGCCCCTCTGTGACCCTTAGGAGGATAAGCTAAAGATGAATGAGTAAATTAAACAACATCCCTGTAGCTGGAAACAACAAATGTTTACATGTCTCTTGTAACCAATAAGACACAGACGTGAAAACACCTGTTCACCTTAGAGGCTGTTTTGTTTTTTTAATGTCACGTGACAAGAATGACAACAAAACACATTCATCACCGTCACTGTCATTTTTATTTCCTGTCATGGCATCCATCTTGGTGAGCTGCGTCTTGTTGCCGTGCAGTGTCTTCCTGGGACCATTGTAAAAAGACAGACTCCTACAATAGTCATGATGCTCTTTTCAATTGTCTGTCTTCCTCCATATGAGGACACTCTCATTGTGCCTGGCCTACATTGCCAGCTCCAGTGAGGATCTGGAGCAGACAGGACATTTGTCACACACTTCTTTGTCCTCATTTATGTGCACACACTCTTCACGGATCACACACAAATTCACAGATTATTGATCAACCACTGTCTGTGCTGAGGACACCGGAGGACACCACCCGCAGACCTGTCCTGTCCCGTCCTCACTGGGTGTAACTGCTGGACGTCTCTTGTTTTGCTTCCTGGCTCCAGCTGCAAAGTTGAAACTCTGCGTCCTGATGATCAGTGTTCTGGAGGACACACAGCTGGATGATGTGGCTAATTTTAAAATTGAATGCTTTCAATTTGAATCACAGTGTTTTGTGACTTTCCTAATTACATCAGTGCAGTGAATGAATGGCTCTGGTCCTCATAATTAGTGTCTTCAATTACATGCTATAGATTTGTTTTCTTACTCAGATCCACAGTCAGAATCTTCATGCTGGTGGTGTTTTGCCAGCAGGGAGCTGGAGGGGCTGATATAAACACTGCTTCATGAGGTTATGGTGCACCACTGCCCCCTATGGACAATAATCACACATATTACAGTTTTTACTTTTCCTCAGATTATCATTGGTAATTATTCATCTATTTTTTTTTACATAAATTATTTTCTTCATCTTCTTTGCAATGATTTGATTTTGACTTTTTCCTACTATTTGTTTTATTCCTTTTTTCCATAGTGTTTATTCAAAGTTAAAATTCACTAATTAATTTATTTACTTCATTCCAAATGTATTTTAGAGGTAGGTTTCCCCACGTACACATGTTAACACAGAGGCAACATTACACTATACAGAATCAGCATCAGTTACCACCGGCCTCGAACCTGTGACAATGCACTAATTAGGACACAAACACAAACAAACACTAAAGGTTTGTGATACAGACAATTTTATTTCAGGGTCTCTGTCTGTTTGTCTCTCCTCTTTATAAACAATATATAACGATGATGATTGTTGCAGTTTTAGTTAAGTTAATATTCAACCCATTCTGGCTGCACAAAAAAACTTAAGCTGCAAAACAGTCCTTGGCTTTTACTTCCTACGTCTCCTTTCCAATATGTGCCAGGCATTTGCACCAAGAAACTGAACCTAGACTATTGCTTCAGGTAATAGCATAGCACGCACACCTTACTCTTTCTTTTTTTTTTCTTTTTTTCTTTTTTTTTGTATTTGTGAAAAAAAAAGTCTTATATTGTCCTGTTAAAAATCCTGGAGTTCTAGGAAAACAATTATAAAAATAAAATATACAAGTAATAAAAAGGTATTAATTGTAGCTGAGTTAAGTGTTACACAGTTTAGTCAATAAGACACTCATTGCCTGGTTTACTGTGAGTCTCCAAGACTAATTATGTCAGTAGATGTTTGCAGCATGTCATGTCACTGAAATGAAAGGCTGGAGCTTCATCAGTATGAGCCACACAGCCTACAGGCTGTTAATCTGAGTTACCACTGAAGAAAAGCAGTCCAGACAGACAGTGATGCATGAGGGAAAAGTTTGATTTGAAGAGCTGTCAAACCTTTCAAAACTTTGAGCTTGCTTCAATTTCATGTGATGAAAAATGACTGATGATGTGGTCTGACAAAATACCACTTTGATGGGACTACATAAAGATGAGACAGCATGATTAATTTAAAACTGTAAATGTGTATAATTACTATTGGCCACACAATACCTGCTCTCGCCACCATTGCTGTAACCACCTCAGATCCCTGACTACCAATTACAATACCAATTTTTTTTAAAACCGTGGATTGCTTAAAAATGATTATTATATTTTTTAAAGCAAGCTTTGAATAGTTTATTTTGTAGAGGGAAACAGAATATTTCACATAATTATAAAGGAAATCTATGAGTATTACATAGATTCTGCAAACGGAAAAAGCAAAAAAAAAACATGTCATTTTTCATAAGAGTTTTCAAGTTCGTGATTTCCTTAATACCAAAAAGCATAATATAGCATAAAATATAGCAAATATAGACGTTGAAGTTCCAAAGTGTTGCCTCGTGGTGGCAGTAAAGCAACTACACGGAAGTAAGCTGTCAGTAATAACCGCCGATGACGAAGACGAAACCAACCGGGTGGATCAATGAGTGGAACGAAGTAAAACTTTTATGAATGTTAAAACCCTGAGACATTTTAAATATACTTCGCTGTAAAAGCTTACACCGGTCAATGTTTTTCGTTTGTTTTTAACACTTACAGTAGTTTAAATATAGTTTAAATACATAGAATACGCAGTCGTCTCTCATCTTAAGCTAAGTCAGGCTAAAGTCTCCATGGCTCCTCTGCGGGTCCTGTGTGTCCACGGTTACCGACAGAACGGCAGCTCTTTCCGGGAAAAGACCGGAGCTCTGCGGAAACTGCTGAAGAAGCAGGTGGAGCTGGTTTATGTGAGCGCCCCACACAGTGTCCCACAAAGCAGCAGTGGCGGTGAGTCTGCCCTACTTTGCGTTTTAATTTGTACAAATGAATGTCGTTGAAGATTTGAAAGCTCTATTTACCCCCAGCAGTAAAGCGGCAGCATGAACGCAGCCCTCGTCCCATGACCACTGGAGTTAAATTTAGCAGTTCACCTGTCCATCGCAGAATCTTTTCAGTGTTTTGAAGTGTTGATAGTCAAAGACCTTAATTATATATACTTTATGTAAATATATACAGTATATACTGTATATATACACACACGCCTTATTCTTGATTTGCTTAAGAATTGCTTTCTTTTAATACTATTCCTGTCAATATTTATTCTCCTCTGAATATTGTGACTACTGCCCTCTAGTGGCTATGTGTTTTTTATACACTTAAGACATCGTTCTTTTATAAATTACAAATTAATATAAAAACCTCAAAATCTACTAAGGTAAAATTAATTGGACAATTCACATTAATTATAAGTGGTATGTTTTAGGAGTTTATTTGTTTGGGTTTTAGGAAAGTCTTAGGAACATGTCATAGTAATCAGAGGCCAATTGATGGTCTGTGATGGACCCTGGTTTCTGGTTTATTAAACACTTTCTAAATGATTTTTTTATTCTGTAAATATAATGTCCGTATTTAATGGAAGTTAAAATATAATCAAGACCAAAAAAAAACAAATAAAGGACTTCAGAATAATTACTTTTGCCCTGTCATAAAAGAGTTTCATTTAGAAATTAATAAGACATAAAAAAGTGAGTCTTGGGCCACATGATGTTACAGTGGTTGATGCTCCTGCCTTACAGCAGGGGTTGCTGTAGATTTTGGTCTAAGGTGTGAGTGTGAATGGTTGTTGTGTCAATATGTGGCCCTGGGATGGACGGTGGTCCAGTGTTTAGGCGGCCTTCCCCCTAGGACACCTGGGACTTCCTCACATTCTCTGATTCTGTTGTTTTCCTCCTCATTAGATTAATGCATACATTGTGTTTTCTTAAAAAACATAATAATGACTTTGTTCTGTCCACGTGGTCTGGGCTGTGTGAGCGTGAAACACTGTCCACAGATGGGGGGGAAACTGATGGAGCTTAATTAAACCCAGCCGCTATTCCCCTGACTATGAAACTGGGAATTTACTGCTGCACGTGTCATATTAGCTGCTGTGCTGTGACTTCATTAAAAATGACACTTTAATGTGTGTTTTTGTTCCTTGGTCAAGACTCTTCAGAGAAGGATAATAGTTCACGTCCGGGCCCTGTGGGTGATGAAGAACAGAGGGGCTGGTGGTTTTCTGACGTCCAGGCTCGAAGCTTCAATGCTCAGCAGCACTGTGTGAAAAGCCTGGGCCTTGATGAGAGTGTGTCTGCTGTAAGGGAAGCTGTTCAGGTCCAAGGACCATTTGACGGCATCTTGGGCTTCAGCCAGGGAGCAGCTTTTGTTGCCATGCTGTGCTCGCTTCAGGAGAAAGGACTGGAGCCGGAGTTCAGCTTCCGCTTTGCCATCCTTGTCGCTGGTTTCCGCAGCGCGTGTACAGAACACCAGATGTTCTACGACGCTCCCCTCCAGATCCCCTCCCTGCATGTGTTTGGGCTGGAGGACCGAGTCATCCCTGACAACATGAGCAGAGAGCTCCTCCCCTCCTTCCTCCAGCCTCAGGTTCTGACTCATCCTGGTGGCCATTTTGTTCCTGCTGCATCTGCTCACAGACAGACCTACCAGGATTTTCTCAACACATTTCAGTGAGACCTACAACCTGTGTGGGGACTCCAGTGCTTAAATCTGCCTAATGAGTGTTAAAGTGAACGGTGTAGAACACTGTGGTTCTTCAAAGACGAGATGTTCCCGTACCCAACAAAAATAAAGATATTTATTTACACTTTTCTAGTCCCTGACCTTTATTACCTTTATTAATTATTCAATTTTTTTCCCTAAAGAAATTCCTGACCTGTACGAGGTAAGTAAAAAAGTTGTAAGACAAATTGAACACATATGACATTGTCAAATGTTTGTAGTTCTAAGGATGTGCTCCAAAACGGGTCCAAACTTGGTCTAAGGACTGAAGTCTTTACAATTTTGGATTAAAAAAACTCAAATGGAGCAACATCAAAACCTACTGTGAAGCTGCAACAGGTTTTGGTCTTGCTTTTCAAAGGGTTAAAAAACGTAGATCAAATCAAGTGTAACACGTGTTAACAACAAAATGTCAAACTTTGAAAGCTGTTGCAGACCCCTCAGAGACTTGTTCCCACGTGTTTGTTGTTAGTTCTACAGTTACATGAGGTTAAAGTTTTAGAAACTGAAAATGTTTTACTGACTTGAATAAATGCCCTCCACTACTGCTTTGTTTATTTTTCTGAAGTGGTATTAATGTCACGTGATCTGAGTATGTAAAGTAATAGAAGTTGGTTTCATGAGAGCAGATTAACCCCATTAGACTAAAGTCATTAATACAAACTGCAAAACTGAGCCAAATACTTTCAGCCTACAGTAACTGTGAAATTAAACACAGTATGTAGGATTTCCGTGGACATTATACTACTGTAGTTGAGTACACTTTTTGGAGAACTGGATGAATGGCTTTGGAGTGTTCGCGCAGAATTCTTGTATAGTAGTGTTCATAACAGCAACTGAAAAATGTTCTTTAAAAAAAAAATCAGCCCTAGATCCTAGGAACTCTCTGTGACTGTGGAAAGTTATGTCTAGAATTTGACAGCACTGAGCCCCGGTGGAAAAGCTGATGGCGTGGTATCGCTCTGTAAAACAACAGCTTCACAATTAGCTCCAATCCGTTGATATGTCACGTCAAAAGTGCCGCTTGGCTACGTTTACATTAGAGTTGAGCGCCGTTGCGTTTGTCGGCCACACGCAGGTCACGGGACTGTGACTGCCGTCAGGGTGAAGGAGGCGATGCTCTCCTGTGTGTGGCTCAGAGAGACAGGTTTATGTGCACTGTGCTGGGTTCAAGGACATGTTGTTCCTTCACAGCTGAAGCATGTGCATGTCAGACCTCACTGCTTCAATTGTTTCCAGATGTGTGTGCGCGTTCTCTATGTCTCTCTCTCCCTCCCTCCCTCTCTCCTCTCTCTTTCTTTGCTTTCATCGCCCACCTCTGCCTTGTTTCCAACACTTCTCCTCATCCTCCTCCTTCCTGCAGTCTGCATGTGTCATCATCAGTGGGTACAACAAACCCTGTCACATACCTGCCCTCCTTACAACACATGGCCTAAAATAGTGTTGTTTGTGTGTGTGTGTGTGTGTGTGTGTGTGTGTGTGTGTGTGTGTGTGTGTGTGTGTGTGTGTGAGCTCCTCTTTCCAGAGGATCTTCCTGCAGGTGGTTGATTGTACTGATGTGTTTAAGTAATTCCAGAAAGCAGTGTCCAACTCCTCTGTTTTAATTCCTCTTTGATTAATTAACGGTTAATTAATAACACATGAGCTGTTTCGACATCATAACCCACTCCTGTTGATGCATTAATTACACTACGTGGACCTGTTTCTCCATTCGGCCCCTTGTATTTGCTCTCTCCTGGGCTCCCCTGTGGTCCTTGTGTCCCTCCAAGACCTCGGCTTACAAAAAAAAAACACATACAAGCACACACACATGGTTTTGATAACAAGGAAGAGATGAGTGGAGAGAGTGAGTAGAGAGAGCGAGTGAGGGAAAACAGTAAAAGAAAAAACTCCGAGGGTCAATGTTGCCAGTAAGTTTTACAACAGAGCCATGACTCTCTTCTCAGGAATCCATTCCCTCTGTTGCACAACAACCGGGAAATAATGGAATGAGAGACAGGGACAGATGAGGGTGGAGTTATCCTCCCACTCTCCCCTTGCCTCTCCCACTCTGCCTCTCTGGCTGTTGCAGTTAAAAAAGCCTGGGTATGGGCACAGTTGTTCACTTTGAAGGGTCACTTTTTCCCCATGTGGAGTGCCGGGGATGAAGCTGGGGCAGATGGGTGTGTCAGGCCACAGATGGGCTTTGTTTTGATTATGGAGAGTTTGTTGTTATGGGAGACAGAAGGGGGAGGAGCAGCAAACTGTGTGTGTCTATATAAGACATGCACATTAACACCAAAGTGCCGGGTCATCCCATGGACCGGACTCATCCGGACACTGACTCTTACTAACTCCACTTTGTTACTGCTGCCTATACTGAGCGCTCCCACTGGAATAACCTCTGTTTACAAAATACTCAGCAGAGGAGATGAGGTTTCTGACTCCAGGTCCATGACATCTGGATTTATACACATCTTTCTTTTTAACCCTTTCATAGTTTTGTCAACATCATTATCTACAGTTTTTGGATTCCAGCAGATGGAGAGCTGAAGACAGATGGACTGATTGGATTTTAACCCAGTGTTTTTTGTTTGTTTTTTGTATTTTTGTAGAAATTACAAGTCGTACTGCTTTAATTGTAAACATGATTGTGTGTTGGCGCATTTGATTGTCAGATTGGTATGCTGCTGCAGATGGCTGTGATGTCATTTCATAGTGAACGGCTTGCATCAGTATCACATGGGACTGAGACGTGCCTCTCTGCTTCCTCTGCGTGTCAGTGAACTTATGTTTGTTCTTTTTTGTAGAAGGGGGGCTTGGGCTCACATCAAGACCAAAAACCTGGTCCTGATGGTCCTAAATGTTTGTCTAACTTAGTGTGACGATGTGAATTTGTAGTTATCTGAAGGTAAGGGTTTGTCATTGTGCCAAACCTTCTCTTGCCAATGCTGCTGTTAATGTCCTTTTTAGAAGTATTTCTTCACTTGTTCTTGTTGTTGTTGTTGTTGATGATGACTTCTGATCAGGTTTAAAGGCTCATTTTATTCTCCAAAGTCACAGGTCAGAGCGAAGAAGACACGACAAACGTTTAGTGCGAAGATGAGGTGGACAAATGGTCAGTTTAGTATTTCAGCTCGATTTAAGAATATTAAACTCGTAGTATTCAACATAGTGCATTGTGTATTTACGAACGTCAAAAGTTGGACAAACAAAAGTGGAGAGTGTTAAAAGTGATAGTAAAACCATGACTCTGCTCTTTTGCACCTTCCACAGCAACTGTATTGATGTCAGTGGACAAAACCCATTGAATGTCTTCGTTTATACGCAGTAAGTGTGTGTGCCTGGTCTTAAACAATAAGCTACAGTTGTTCATGTGTGTCCATATGTGGGTGCGCAGCTACCATATGGGTGGGATTTGGTTTTTTTTGCATGCATTCCCACACGCTTCTGGTTTCTTCTCCTTTGTGGGTTTCCTGTTTGTGTGGACAACGAGTAGTTCCACAGAAGCTAAAACCCGTCTACCTGTCTGCACGCAAACCCCTGATGTCCTCCATCGATCCCAGCCACTGGCTAAGACATAAGACACTAAGTCATTTTTTATATTTCAATTTTTTTTCCTCCCTTGTGATACAGATATATTTGATTAAATGCTATGTCTTCAACCTGGGTGTGTCCGGGGCAGTTCATCAGCTGAATTCCAGATGTGGTCACAGGTCAAGGCATTGTGTGAGTGTGTGTGGATGTACAGAGGTTAAACAGGGACACAGCCCGGGCCTCTGAAGTGTGAACAGCAGCTGGATGATCTATGATGTCAACTGTAGACATTTTTTCTGCTTGTCTGCTTTGCTGGACTCTTTTAGAGGCCGAGCCTCGGCCCTGGCACCGAGAGAGTTGTGGTTTGGCTGTCCTTAGAGGTGTCTGACACTGCAGGGGGAGATATTAGTCATTGTGACTAGGGAGGAGAACTTTGGTAGAGTCTGGATACAACAGGGAGAGTGAAAGGGAGAGAGAGGGAGAAGGAGAGAGAGTAATGTCTTGGCTCCCCCCAAAATATGTGAGCAATGTTGCTCAATCTTGTTTGTGTCAGGGGAATGTTTCTCAGTTTGGAGAATATTTCCAGATAAAAAAAAAATAATAATAAGTGTTCATTTCTGTAGCACTTCAGTAGCTCACTGATATTTGTAGAGAAATACAAAGAATGTTTCAGTAAAGCTGTTTATCATTTAATAATCACCAACACATGACTCTGGTAAACACCCAAAAAAAACTGTTGTATTTCATTGCGCAACACATAAATGATTTTGTTCCACAGTGTGAAAAAACAGTGCAGTTTATCAGTGAAATCAGTGAATATGCATTTAGTTGTAGTCTGGTGTGTGTTCTTGTTTAGATGAGGAGCTGAAGTCAAAAACGTTTTTCAGGTCCAGTATAATATTTAGGACATAATGCTAAATAGCCTTAGTTTTAAGGCTGAGATTTAGAGTTAATATTAAAAATGGCAAAAGTTTAAGTTTGGGCAAATGAACTATGTTTAGTTTTCACCAAAAAGACAGACAAGTGTGTGTGTGTGTGTGTCTGAGTGTGTTTATGTCAGAGAGACAGAGAAACAGAAGAGGAAGACAAACAGTACGTTTACCTGTCAGCCCTGAACAGTAAGAGTTTATGTGCTGCTGTTCTACTGTCAGCACATGAGCTCTTACAGTGCAGGGAGGCAGAGGAAAAAACAACTTTTCACTATCTGCTTTTACTTTTCAATATAGAATAGGAATAGATAGACAGAGAGAGAGAGGATAAAATAGAACAACAGAATTAAATAATAAAAATTCAAGACTTCTCCTTGTCATTAAAGATTAAAACCTTTTTACTTTCCAGGAGTTTCTAGAAAGTTATTACCTAAAAGCATTGTTGTAGTCTGTTTGTCTAAAGGTGGATCTATTTTACAAACAGATATCTAACGTTTCCATGTGTTTTCCCATAAACCTGGAGGGGAAAATTGAGGATAATTCATCACAGTCAAAGCCATAGCCTTTAAAGTTTATGAGTAAATTTGATTAACACAAGATAAAAATGCCAACGAGAATAAGATTTAATTTCATGTATCAATATGAAAATTGTTTACTGGAAATCCTTTCATCTTTCTCCTTTTTCCATTTTACGGCTACATTTCCTTGACTTTGATGTATTGTCCCTGTGCTTTTTCCAAAGTGGAATTTCATCTCACATCATGTTCTTTTCTCTCGCAACTCTATACTCATGTTGGCATAACACTGTGTCCTTCGCTTATTATTTTCCCAGTTCGTTCTTACAAACCTTCAAAATATTGAGGAAGTCTGAGCTTAGACAGCTGCCACAGACAGTACCAGTGGTACACTGCTATACCTCCATGCTGTCACTTACACCTGAAAACTGCACTCTCAGAACAGTTTTTTATTTTTTTCCTGAGAGATTGTTGTGGCGGTTAAAGAAACTTCTTTGCATACCTTCTTTGTTCTCTCATATCGTATCACTAACAAAGTAAGAAAAGTTTGCACTGTAATTCATGCAATTGTATGCATAAATATTACCACAAAACAGAACGTTATTGACATTTTTTTATTTTATACAATCATACACGTTTCTGCATAATAATAATACTAATAATACTAATAGGTTTAAACGTGGAAAAAAAAGACTTTATGAACAGCTCAAACTCTGCCTGCAGATGGCAGTGTAAATCTAGATATAAGGCTGAAGAAGAGTGGCTCAAGGACAAATACATTCTTTGTGTGTTGGTGTTTTTGTATGTGTGTGATGTTGGGGTATGTCTAAGTGGGTTAGCCCACCTGTGTGGATCTAGTGTGTGGTTTCTTCCTGCAGGTTACACCACTGCCCACTGGGAATTCTGGGTTCTGCTGCTTTGAAGTGAGGTTGCTCTACTCAGATCAACAGAGAGCTGAGCAGGTGGTGGAGCTGGCTGACTCATTGGTTCAGCTTATTACTGTATTCAGAGATCAACCCTTTAAAAAAATCATTATATTCAATAAAGGCACGGGTGAGAAACTAAATGTGGCACTGCTATACTTTTGGGGGGGGGGGGTTTAGTTGTCAAACTGTTTTTGGTGAATCAGACAGACTATGTCACGAGCAGCTTAATCACTCTGAATTACAGTACTGCATATTTATTCACATTATGAGGACATGGCAAAAACATCTTTTCTTTTCTGAACATATGTTTACAAGAACGCATGACTGACCTCTGACCTTGTTTGTGAACCAGACGATGTCATTTACAAAGGAAACTTAATTAAATCAGAACTTTCTTGTCTCTCCTTTCTTTCTTGATGTTAACTATCCCTAACGACCATGGCTGTAGACTGTTACCATGGTGCTGATGCTAGAGTAACAATCTAAAGCCACGGTTGCCATGGAGACAGCAAGATGGAGGAGGAGCTGAAGTTGGCATGGAAACTGGAAAATGGGAACCGCAAGGTTTCATTGGTGTGAGGAAGGATGTTACGCAGATAGATCGTGTAGGACTCCCCCAACGCAAGCCCACTCTTTCTGAGCCACAGAGAACAAACACAGAATCTTCAACACATTTATTCAACTTCAGCTGTCAACCATTTTGGGGCCAAACCCCATTAATCTTCTTCTTCCTCTCTGTCTGTGTTTCCTTTGGCAACATACTGGTGCATTGCTAGGCTTCAGTAGCCATGACTGTAGACTGTTACTGTACCGTGACACTGTATAAGCAGTAAGCAGTCTAAAGCCAAGGTGCTGATGCTCTGGCCAAGTAATAAAGATGTGGAAGTCAAAGAGCCAAACTTTCTGCTGATGGGACCCTGTGTCAGAATAAAAAGAAAGAAGGATATGGGTGCAGTGTAATTGCAGCAAAACGTAAAACAGTTTTTCTGAGAAAGCTGATGATCAGTGCAGTTGATGATTGAAGGACTGGAGACACCCGTTCAAAACATGCTGTAAATTACTGGTGTGTTTTTATACCACATACTCAATATTTCTTTACAAACACACTGGGGTAAAATATGTGAAACATCCATAAACTGCTGCAGAGCTGTCCCTTGTCTTCTCATACATACATTCCCACTGTTACGGTGGGCGTTGCTATTCCCAAATTATGATAATACAGACATTTCTGGGAATGACCTACTTACATGATAACTTTGTAATTGGCAGGAAAAGTTGAGTTGTGACAAAAAAGTGAAACAGAACACTCACTAAATGTTATGATTTTGCATTAATTATAGATTGTACATTATTCATTATCTAATCGTTCATATAATGTGAGTACATAAATGTTCAAAGGATATGCATAACATGTAATAATAGCTACTCAGTCACCTGTGTTACTGGACACCCAGTTAAGAAAACTTATTTTAGACCTCTTGAAGTGGATAGACTTTCGTCACTGACTCAACAGTGTTCTCTCCCTCTGACCTAGATAGTGTTTATATGTATGCAAGAGTGAGTGAGTGAGAGAGTGAGAGAGCGGGTAAAGCAGCTTTGCAAAGAGTGTGTGTAGAAGTTTTTGGATTTCACTGGTTATGTAAAAGTATGTATATTTATATCCTTAAGAGATTAGTATAATTAGAGAATTGACATTATTTTCTATACGCACACATTCTTCTTCATTGCTAAGCTGAAAAACTTCTAAAAAAGAAACTCTACTTGAAATCATGACTCTCTGACTCCTTTATCTGTGTATCTTTCACATTCTACCGGGTTTAGCTACGCGTTATTTCGACATACACGTGGTATGTTTCTTTTCTTTTTTTTCTTTTTTTTTTATTTGTTGAGTACCCCAACATGACGGTACATATTTAGACAAAAAATAAAGAAGGCATTTTATATAATTTTAAACGTTTGTTCAAACTATTACTTTTTTTCTGTCCACGTCAGGCGCAACTTTAACAACGGCTTTCTTTATAAACAACAATAGCGTTTCTTGTTCAGCACCACACCGCGTGGAACAGCGACACAGCGGTGCTCGAGCCTACCACTGTCCCTGGTCCTGATTTGGACCACAGCCGTATGGTGAAAAACGTACTAAATAATTCATAACAGTGTTTGACATGTAAATCCTTACGTCCATCTTTCCAGATCTAACCTGTTTCCGTTTAAACCTGTCAGAAGGGAAGCACGACGGAGACTTTGCGGTCTCTGCATCACCACTACTGAATAAATGATTAAATCACGCGTCTCAGTGCTCGTGAAGTCACATGCCCGAGGCCAAGCGTGTATGACGTCACATCACAAACAAACCAATCACCGGTAGTTCCATTCTGCCGTTTGACTTATCAGAGAGCGTGGGTAGTGGCTTGGTCTGGCTCGGTTTCCGTGGCACCGGGGAGAAACCGCCTCGACTGTGTGGGTTGTGTTAACGAGCATGCGGATCTTCCTCCAATGCGTGTCAGGCAGGGAGTCTTAGCAGGGAGTCTTAGAGTCCTGATGCTTAAAAGTCGACACCACGGAGAGTCCTGATGCTTAAAAGTCGACACCTGCCTTTATTTCAATTGCTTTTACTTTAATTTTTAGGTTATTTTTTAATATACATGACAGGTGAAATAAATGCTATGATGTATGAGGCTGTTAAAGAGACGATCCACTGATTGTGTTATTAATTGTTATGTTGATGTAAAGCGGTTCGAATGGCTGCTCTAAGACACATACAGTACTTGTCATTAATCCTGCACAACATAAGGCGTATCGACGACTTGTGAATGAACCAGAAGCTTCATTGACTTCCTAAAACCTACTCCTCCCCCGTGTATTCTACGTGCATGAACCCCTTTGACACTGCGCGTCAACGCCGCCCACGCACGTTGGAGGATCACACTGCGGTTCGCGCGTGCGTGCACATGACGAGTGTGTCCCTGATGCCTTTAAAAGGGGATGGTTGTGCGAGTGAGAGAGACTGCGCATCATCTGCAAAGTGCGCAAGAGTGACGCAGGGCTGACTTAATTGCCTGGCTACGTCACAGCGATCTGAGATTGAAGATGGTTAGTGGGGTGGGGAGGGGAGTGAGCGGGTAAAGGAAAGCGCCGACCGGAAGTGCATGAAGGGTAGAAACAAGGAGAGGAGGGGAAGGAGAGGGAGGATGGATGAGGTGCGCCACACCGGAAGAAAGTGATGGCTATAATGTCATTACTATCACCGGAAACCTCCCAGTGTACCACGCGCTACCCGGGACTGTGGGAGTTGATGTGGGAGCACACACCTCCTCTGCCCCCCTTCCGAATCCCACGCACACTACTGTACAGAGTCCCACATGTACACGCACACTGGGACGCAGATGTTTAAAGTTGTAACGTGCGTGTAACATCTGGACATCTGGACCACCGAAGGTCTTCAGTCCTTAGAAGTGAGACTGTGATCAGATGACAACCTGAGACCCTGAATCAGGTGTAACCTGCGGTGACCGTAATCACTGTAACCATAGTAATTTCTCGTCACACGCGTCTTGTGTCAATTTTAACAGTAAACGTTTTTTGTTTGTTTGTTTGTTTGTTTTTTTACGGTTTTCTTTTTCTACATCTTATGTAGTCTGTTTTGCTCGACTGCTGCCCACATGGGAGAGAGAGAATGAGTCACACTGCAGCAACTTCCATTCAGAGTGGAGATGAGAGCAGGGTCGATCAAAGCAGATCATAAAGCTTCTAAAACGACTTGAACCTCTAAAAGGAGTGCCTTTATTTTCGAGTATAAATCTAATCTGCATTAAAAGAAAAATAACAATAAAAAGGAAAAATGAACTTACCTCAGTTGAAGTTCCCAGTGTGGAACTGCTGTAGAACCATCTCAACACCATCGGTCTTCAGCACCACCAAGCTGTGTGCGCAAATCTGTGCCATGTCGTGTCCGCACACAGACACCGTCGTCCCTCTCCAAAGTCTCTTCCCATACAGACAGGGCTCTCCCATCAACTCTAGGCTTTTTATAGAGATCCCGTAGTAACTCGTGGAGGGAGAGGGGAAGGGTGGAAGTGGGGGTGGGGGG